CTTATTTTACTTATTTTATTATTAACTTTTTATTATTACTCATAGGATAGTTTTTATCTCGATTATTTTTATATTTTTATTACTAATTTAAGGATTTATTATTTAGAAGTTATTTAGATTTTTAGATACTGTAAGTCTTCAATGGATGACGGTGTATTACAATTCAATTATTTCACGTATTTTTTTCAGATTTACATATGACTTAACTAACCTCGCTTTTCATATTTTTTTCGCGTATTATTATTTTATTTATTCCATTCTAATTGTGGTATAATATTATTTTGTGAGTTGTAATAATTTACTAAATAGTTTAGAGAATTATATTAAATCAACGTTTTATAACAACATTTTATATCATCCTAGTATGCATTTAAATATTATTTTCAAATTTTATACAGAGAAAGAAAAAATAAAAGACGTCTGATTTAATAATTATGATTAAAAAAGGTCGATTAGTTGAATCGTGTCCAAAGTTTCAAAGTCCCGGCAATGCATGTGTATATATTTCTATCTTTTTCTCTCTTATTAAGTCTGACCCCTAGTAGGTCAAAACGTACAAGGAGTCACACGTGTGTTTATGTGTGTGTTCGCATACGCGTAAAAAAAAAAAAAAAAGAAGAAGAAATGAGAAAAAAAAATGTTAGAAGGAAAAGAGAGACGTGCTCAAAAGGATAACCACGAACCTCTCTCATATATCTCGACCCACGCAGAAACATTCGTTTCTATGCGATCTCTAAAACGGATACCTTAATATGCCTTTCGCGGACGTTATTACGCTAGTGTCGGCTCCTTTTCTGTATTTTGCTTTCTCTCCAACGGCGTCTTTTAAATCGTTCAAAATCATCTCACAATTCCATACTAAGTTAAACTGTTACCTAAGATTATTTCCTCTCTTTTTTCTTTCTTTATTTTTTTTCACGATATCATATCAAATATTCTTCTAATTAATCATTATATAATAAATAATATGTTATATAAAATTATTGTATAATAATAAAATATATATTTAAAATAAATACATAAATTATTTTACCTAAGTATATTTCGTTTCTTTTTCTTCCTATGTTCTTTCTTTATTCTTTTACGATATCATATCAAATATTTTTCTAATTAATTATTATAATAAATAATATATAATATAAAATTATAATAATAAAATATAAATAAAAAAAAATACACAAATTATTTTACATACAAATAATAATTTAATTAGTTCTTATTTGCATTCATAAAATAAAATATATAAAAATTTGGTATTATAGGGAAATTGATCCTGTTCTTCAACAAAACAATGTACTCTGATTTTGTTACCTGTCCAAATTCCCTATGATACCAAGTTTTTACAAATAATAATTACCTATAAAATAATACGAAATAAGTTAATTGATCCAATTAATCTACAATAATAATAAAGTTACCCCTAAATATTTTATGCAAATAGAAACGATCGAATATAATTTCTTCGAAACATTTTGTATAAAATCGTACAAAAAAAAAAAAAACAACAACAACAACAACAAAGAAAAAAATAATATTATATAGATTAGAAATCATACACAAGTCGATAAAATTTCATCGTAGGCGTGTTGTAATGATCGTTCTTGTATAAGTATGTTTAGACAAAATGCGTAGGCGTGTGATGTCTTCATCCGGTTTGACTAACTAGAATCACACTGGATATACATATGTATGTAGTTTAGTATCAATGAGACGTGTAAAACGTAATCTATCGTTGAAGACTGTCTTCTGTTCTTCTTTGCAATCGAGTTAGGCTCGTTCCACTGACATTTCTAACATTCATGATACTATTCATGTTCGTTAGAAAACTAACTTTGTAAGTACTCCTTTAAAGGTAGAAGAAGAGGAGTCTCAGGAATAAGAAACGATCAAGAAGAAGAAGAAGAACAAGAACAAGAAGAAAATAAGAAGAATAAGAAGAAGAAGAAGAAGAAGAAGAGGAAGAAGAAGAAGAATAATAAACGATCGTTCTTCTCAACTAAGTTGTAACTAAATGTATATGTAAGAGAAGATGCTTGAATAGAGTTGGAAAGAGAGAAAAAGATAGAATGAGAAAGGTGAAGGATAGAGATGAAAAAGGAAAGGAAAGGAAAGAAAGAAAGAGATAGAAAGAGAATCGGCGGTGGCGAACGGTAGCTCGACGACTGACAGCATCCGAAGAATTAGTATCTTGTATCTGGCGAAGGGCGCCACAAATCATTTGGGGAGGCTGTCAGGCATACCTTTAGCTATACGCACAACTCATCCTACTACCATACTTCTCTCCCTCTTTATATGTATTATATTCTTCTTATTATTATTCTTTCTCTCTCTCTCTCTCTCTCTCTTCCCCTTTTAATTTTATTTAATCTTTTTTTTTTTCTTCATTTTATCTTATTTTTCTTTTCTTATTATTTTTTATTTCCCCTTCTCTTCTGTCTCTTTCTTTGTTACTTATGAAGAGAACACGCTGGTACTTTTCTCTTCTTCCTATTTTTCTTCTTTCTCTTTCTCTCTCTCTCTCTCTCTCTCTTTTCTTTTTTCCCTTTCCCTTTCCCTTCTACCTCAGTTGGAAAGCGGCGGAGGAAGATCAAAGGGATCCTCCTCCATCGCTAATGATATGCGATCTGCTGTCGGTGCTCCCGAGACCTGGAACCTCGAGGACATAAAATTCCAGACACAACCGTTCGTTCTGTTCGTTCCTGAAATGAAACGCGTGCTATGAAATTCAACGGCACCCTATAAACCTACCATCATTTCTTATACATCCGATTCAAATATACAACTTCAAATTTTTGTTCTATTCTATTCAATATAACCACGATTTAATTTCATTATAATATTGATAATACTTAAAACCTATTGATTATTTGTTAATAAAAATATAATATATAAATAAAGTTAACCTCTTTACAATGTATATATTTAATTAAAATAACATCACTATGACGTTCTATAAGATATTATTAAAATTATAATTAATATACTAGATAATAAATAAACATCCTGTGTTCAATATTTAATATCTATATAAAGAAACTTTTTTTCATAGTCGATAACGTTGACTCTTTATGGGTGTTAGATAATTGTTTTAAAATAGTAATAAAAAAATATAAAAAAAAAAAGATAAAGAATGAGGAAGATAGAGAGAGAGAGAGAGAGAGAGAAGATCGAAGCTATTGAAAAATCAACGCCATTTCAGTATACGACGTCCGTTTCGTGTCTTTGACAGGAAAGATATCGTTTCCACCAGTTTGGCTTGGCTTTAACGCCTACACGAGAGAAAAGAGAATGTGTGAGTGTATAAAAGAAAGAGAGAGAGAGAGAGAGAAACATTTTTAGGTAATGATCCATGTATGATCGATAACTTTGGTTGGGTTGGGTTGGGTTGGGTTGAGTTGGGTCCTGTGGAATAACGTTAACGCGTCCTCGTGTTCCTTCAAAAACTTTGATAATGCGAAATAAAAGTTTTCTTTAAAAAGTACTCTTCTAACTCTAGTGGGTTTAGGTATTGAAATCGTTATGGTATTTAAACTATATACATATACATTTATATATAATATACCTATGTGTATATCACATTGAAGCATAAAGTACTTCCAACGTATATCGACTTATCAATTTATCATAAGATTTTCTTCGTTGGTAGTTGCGAAAAGTTTTGATCATGCATCATCATAGAAAGTTCTTACTACGGTTGGTATTTAATATTCGTTTATATTCTATGAAAAATGGGAAAAAATTTTCTACTTTATTCTTACTTATTTATCATTTTTTATTTATCTCGTATTTTTAAATTGAATACAGAATTAATATAGGATAATATAGAATTTTTGATCTCTGTTGGTACATTTAATATCAATAATTAATTATATTAAAATTCTTTTAATATAAATGAAAATATAATTAATCATATATACATATATTGAATCCAATTGTATGTTATTAACATAGAGATACTTAGATCTAACAAATTCATTTCAAACAAACTTCTAATCGTATTAATCTATTTTAAAAAGAAATTTAACAATCAAAATTCAACCTATATAAAAATATTAATAAACCATGATTAAGAATATAACATTAACGATAAGATGGATAAAAATAAAACGAATATTCTTTAGAAACAATAATAACTATTAAAATTAATAATAATCATTTTAACGTTAAATGTAATAGAACTTTAGTAAAGTTCGACATACATATAGGTATAATTCTCTGTCCCTTTCCCTTAGACGCAATCAGTCTCTCTCTCGAATAGCTCGAAGGTAGCAGAGCCACAGGCTTAATTTGCATTCCGGCATGCGCATAATCCCAAACCGTCCAATATAATCCATCGTTACGCTTTCCTCCCTTAGCATGAAACCGATGGAGCGTTGAGAGAGAGAGAGAGAGAGAGAGAGAGAGAGAGAGAGAGAGAGATAGATAGATAGATAGATAGATATAGACATAGATAGATAGATAGATAGAAAGTTAGAGAGAGAGAGAGAGAGAGAGAGGCAAGTGACGAGCCACAAAGTCCATCGTTTCGATCGCTTTGCCTAGCACGAATTACCGCCTGAAGCCCTTAACATGGATCAAAGGGACGAGCGACTTGGCAGCTTCCTTTTTACCCCCACCCACTATTTTCTCTTCTATTTCTCCCCTTATTCCTTCCCTCTCTCTTTCTCTTTCTATCTTTCTCTCTTCATCTATCTCCGTCATACTAAACTCATCTTAACATATACGAATCCCAAGGTATTCGCTCTATCGTGTTTAGAAAGTGGCTCGATGTGCCTTTCATAAAGGCATATTGAAGGTGTTTGATACTCTCTGCCAATTCGACGATAAAGATAGATAGAGATAATAGTTAAGCGATTGATCTCAAAAGCTCTTGGGAAATATACAGGAATAATATTATCACCCATTTTTGTATGAAATAGGGTTAATACAACATAATAAATACTCGATTATCTTTTAACCAAATAATTTACACTTAACATTAATGATAATTGGTATAATAGTGATAACAAGGTAACTTTTATAATCTATCTTTTTTACTGAAAAACATTATTTTTTATATTTTGGTTCATTTTTAAGTAAGAAAATTTGTAGGAAATATAAATGATTTTTGTTTAATTAATATTATAACATTGCAATGATAAAATTATTGATTTTTCTGTTCAGGTGGCAGTAAAGATAATCGATACGCAAAATGGCAGACAAGATTACATAGTGAAGAATTTAACTCGAGAAGCTAAATTACTATCAATGTTACAACATCCAAGTATCGTCAGGCTTTACGAAACGATTCAGGTGATTAGATTTCAAAGATACTGTGATAATTAACAGGTCGTTTTAAATGTTAGTTCGTTTAGTTTGATACTATGGTATCAAACTAAAGTATGTAACTTAGTGGCACGTGCTGCTAAACTTTAGAGATCCTTTTTCTTTCTCGCTTTATCTCTTATCCCTTCTCTTTCATTCTATCTCGTCAGAACTCTATGACAAATCGGTAGCCTCCTAAAATTTCGCCAGCCGCGGAGCCAGTTAACGCCACCCAAGAGGGATGATCCATCTTTCTGGCTTTAATTAAACGTGCCATTTAACTGAATTTATAAACCTCTCGGGGTAAGGGTGATTCAAAATGGAAAACACTTTTCGAGTGTTGCGGGACGAGTGCTTCCTTTCATACCACTTTTTTATATTACCATATTGTTATTAAATAAATTAAACACGAATTATACAACGTTAATTCAAACTTTTGTTTTTGCATATGTTAGACAATATCAAACAATATCGTTTAACAATAATTTAAAAATCTCTATATCAACCACTTGACATACAAATAAAATGCACGGTATTTTATTTTGAAATTTACATTGCTTTATAAAATTCAATAAGGTTGATAATTAATTAAGTAATATTATAAAATAATAATTGAATAATTTTGTAACGTGTAATACTTCATAAAGCAAAAACAGCTGAAAACAGTTTTTGACGTTTGGATCAAAGTCTACAATGGCACATGAAATAAATGACGTCTCCTAGACGTCATTGTATGTCAAGTGGTTAAAAATGAACAAAATCATTTTTAAATTTAAAAAAATACAATTTGTTTTTCGAGATACGTAACAATAATTATGGCAATGATCCTAGTTGCATAAATGTGAATAACGCGACCTAAACGTGAAGTTGAACATAATTACAGATACATATATATATATATATATATATATATATATATATAGATAGATATAGAAGTGTAAATTTGTTATATTAAAATGATACCATCTCGCTATAATTGGTAATTTTATTTTTATACAAGAACAAGCATCTCGCTTTAACCATCTTCTCAACGCGTTAAACTGTCGACGAGAATTTAGTTGCTCAAACTACTTGTACTTGCATTATATATATATATATATATATATATGTACATTTATGTGTAAGCTTTCGTGTACCTGGAAATCGAGTTACTTTGACGCGCGCGCGCGCGTGTTAATTAAGTCACCATCACGCTTTCTGCTTCTTCGTCGCTTAAATAGAGTAATGATATTCGAGAGGGCCGACGCGCGACAGTAATTACGATCAAGAACCTGTTTTCTAACTACCATTTAAAGTACACTCGTACCTCTTCTCTTTTATACCTTTTCCGACGTTTTTACATGTCGATCAGCTAATGTGCAAATCTTTCTCTCTTTCTCTCTCCCTCTCTCTCTCTCTCTCATGATTACTTTCTATCTTAAAATACGATCTTGTTTAAATCTTACAGTAAAGAGTTTCGATTAGCAACCAATAATACTAAAACATAGTTTTACCTGCTATTAAATGAAAAACTTGATTAATTTTGTTACACCGTCGTTTATGACATTTATTTTTTTGTTAAATAACAAACTTAAGTATACCTGTTTCTGCATATTTCCCGTACCGTTGTATATAATTATTATTTAAATAAGAAAAAAAAAGAAACTAAATTGTTCGCTCGTATTGATCGTAAAAAAAAAAACAATCTATTATACAATATGAAATGTTCGTGTTTATTCCTATTTCCATGTCATTCGATAAATTTATCAAAGATTATAATTAAAAATACTTTCAATGCAATCTTTTTCAACTGTCCAAAGAAAGAAAAAAAGAAAAACCCTCGAACAACATCGAGTAATTAAAAACTTTTGTTTCTCTCTAAGCCGATCGAACGACCAACCCCTTCTTGCTCGAGAACACCAAAAAAAAAGAGAGGTAAAAAAATGTTTAGGTATTTCGTGCAGAGGTCCTGATAAATAAAAATATATATAGAAAAAAAGAAAAAAATATGAAGGAAAATTTTCACGAAGAATAGACGACCAGAGAGAGAAAGAAAAAGAGAGAGAGAAAGAGAGAAATAACGTCGAAACAGGCGTAGCACGGTACTGCATTTTTGCACACGAGTAAAATTGAAGAAGAAAAAAACTAAAAGAGAGAAAGAGAAAGTCAAGGATAGAAGGGATATGGAAAGGGGAGTGGTGATGGGGGTTAAAAAACAGGCCTTTTTATCGCAAGCTCAGAGGGCGAAAAACCGTGAGCTGTGTTCGTTATCCATGGGCCCTACCCCGTGGTTGTCGCAAAACCGGGCTTACGATTCGTTCATTCCTGGAGTAAGGGCTAAGCGCATTGTTTGACCGCGTTGCAGCGAACCTCGCGGAAATTACCTCCGTAATTAAAAGAATATTCCAGCCCTTTGCTCATTGCGGGTGCAAAGGGTGCCAAGCTTCCTTCTACCCCACCTACCCCTAATCTCTCTCTTTCTCTCTCTCTTCTTTTACTTTTACATTACACATTCACTCTCTTACTTTTACGTACGTGTCTATCTACATCTCTACCACTTACTAACACATACATACACACATACGCATGCACATTTACACGTATTCTTTTTCCTTTACTTTTACATTACATATTCACTCCCTTTTTCTCTCTCTCTCTCTCTCTCTCTCTCTCTGTTATATATGTTCTATATATCTCTGTAATTTACTAACACATAAGCACTTACTAATATTCTCTTTCTACTTTAGATCACACGTATACTCACTCTTTCTATCAATTACTAACACACATACTTTCTCTCTTTCTGTTACTTACTAACATACACTTTTCATCTCTATTACACGTTCACGTATTCTCTCTTACATACACGTTCTATATCTCTCAGTCACTTACTAACACACACTTTCATTCTATCTCTCTTTTTAATATACGCATATACGTGTATTCTTGCAATTTCCCTCTCTCTCTCATTCTTTCTGTCACTACATTCTCTCTTACTCGTGAACTTCGATGGAAACCCTTTCGACGAGTAACAACCCCTGTTCGTGCTGCCATGGGAAGCTACATCTGCTGCTGCTGCTGCTGCTGCTGCTGCTGCTGCTGTTACCCTGAAAGTCGAGGGTCCAACAAAGTGAGTGAATGACTGACTGAGAGAGAGAGAGAGAGAGAGAGAGAGAAAGAGAGAATGAGAGTAAGAGTGGAAGGAAAGAGTAAAGAGAAAAAAGCTGCCTCGTGAGCTCTTTCATTCGGAAGGGGTCAAAAGGTGAAGGAGGATGAGGAGAGAGAGAGAGAGAGAGAGAGAGAGAAAGAGAGAGGGGATGAGAAAGATCGGAAGCAAAGCAGTAGAGATTAAAAAAGCAAGCTTAAGGGGGGAGGGAGGGTACATATGCAGCATGGTTAATAACAAACAGCGAACGTTCTTCTCTTCTTTATGCAGTATCGAGCTTGTCAATTCAGAATTACAAATTCGTCGTATCATTAATGGTGCATCTTTGACTCGTCTTACGGATGCATACTCCAACCACCTACTGATATGTGTGTTTTTTTATAACGTACCTTCTAATTAAGCTTACTTCGTTCATTCTCTCTCTGTGTTCTTTTATATATATACATACTAGGGTGTTCAAACCATGAATTGATGTGGTTTTGTTTATAAAACGTTGATTTAATATAATTCTAAATTATTTAATGTTCAGTAAAATTGATATTCACTAATAATTTCTAGAAATTCTAATTAGGCATAAAACAACATAAAATATTTTTAATATTTATAATATATAATATAAAAATAACAACATATAAAATAATATTACAATTAGAATGTAATTTATAAAATAATAGTAATTGAAAAAATATAAAAAACAAGGTTAGTTATGTCCTATATAAATCTGACACGTGTATGTCTCTTTGGTACATACCAAAAGATGTTGAAATTCCATTCCACGAGGAGATCACTCACAAAGCACATACTGCACTAATACGAAAAGTATCCACTCACTAAGGTTTTTATTAAAAGTATATAAACTAACTGACCATTTGAGGATATTAACACTAAAAAACGATATAAAACATTGATACTGATGTAAATGAAAAAAGAAATGAATTAAAAAACAACGGCTAAAATGTGTAAGCACGAATACACGCGTAGACACCTACTTTCGATCGGAAACGTCGAAGAATAACGACTGAGAAGGGGAAGGTAAACGTAGGTCGAACTAAACGACGGTTTTATTCAATGTTTTGTTTATGTATATGTCACTGTCTCTCTCACTCCTCTGTCTGTCTCTCAGCTCAGTCGAAGTTCGTATTATAACACGTTAACATTGCTTTTATTCTATTAAGAATATCTACATACGTCGAACTTGTAAACACATTTTTATCTTGGTAAGAACGAAATGAATAGAAATAAAAATTCTAGCAAATAAAATAATTAAAATAATATTTTTAAAATAATCATATATAAAATAATATAATATATAAATATAATAATATAATAATATATTTATATTATAAATATATAATGTAAATATATTATATATTTTATATTATAGTAATTATACTATATGCATATTTAGTATGCAATACTAAAGTATAGTACATTAACTATATAGTAATATAATTATTATAATTTTATATTATAGTAATTATACTAAGATAAATAATTATTATATTATTATTATATATAAATGTTTAATAATAATAATATATAATATATAAAAAAAAAAGATTTTGTATGTATAAAATAAAATCACATTTAACGTAAGGCGTGATTAAAAAATCATCTTACAATAACGTTTACAATATTTGCTATCACATTTTCAACAAATTTCATTTCTCTTGTCAGTTTCTTCATCCTTTTTTATGTTTTTTTACGTTTTTTATTTTCAACAAAAGAAAAAGAAATAAATAGAAGGAAAAAGATTAATGATCTCGGTCCGTAGAAAAAAAGTTTTTCTCTTCAATAATGGTGAATTATTCGTCATATGAAATTCCTGATGAATGCGAACATCAATGTTATTCGCTGAGATAGGTAATTCAATATTCCGAGGATAATATAACGCAAACTCGACAGGATTCTCGACAGGGAGGTCAGTTTCCGAAAATTAATTAGATCTCGTCGACATTGTATACCCTTAGGCGTGTATCGACGGGACGTAACACACGTTGATATTTGAGAACAAAAATGAGAAAAATCGAGGAAAACGAGAATGAAGGAAAGATCAAACGACTTCATAGGAGATAACAAGAAAATACACATTTTCTTGTTTTTTCTTTTTATATGTGTCTATCATTCACACATGTGTGTGTTACTGACAAATTGAATAAAATCTAGATTTTATTGATGCAATATTTAAATATCTTATTTTCACGTCGTAATCTTTATTAGAAAAGAAATAAATCGGTAGGGGGTTTGAAGTTATTCCCTATTTTACTTTCTCTCTCTCTCTCGTTTTCTTTAGATATTCATTTTTCGATCCTTCGCAACATCTGTGTCTGCATGCAACCTCGTAAAGTATACACATTTTTCAGTATTTTTTATTTTATTTTATAGATACCGATCAGCAATGATATCTCTATGGATTTCAATTTTAAAATATATTAAATAAATACAAAAATTATATATATATATATATATTTTTATTTATAAAATGAAATCTCATGTATTTTTCATTATGTTGAATCAATAATTACGTATAGCATACACAGATAAACCTGTAAAGAAAGTATGTATTTTATTTTAATTATTTACTTATTTAATTATTACAAATTATTTTCATTGTTTATACGTTGCAATGATTAACAAAAAAAAAAAAAAGTAAAAGAAAATGTTAATGAGTTAAAACTACAGGATAAATAAAATTACAAAAGTCCGATCATTAGTCGTATTGCAAATAACACAATTTGCAATCGTATGACTTTATATTGTTTACGATATTACTAGTCGATTCATCAAACGAGACTGTCGAGTCTGTTTTATCCGAAAGAACGAGCACGACACGATCGATCATTCTGATAAAAGGTAGAGAAAACAATAACGAGTGCGTTCTCGGCTGAACGAGTTTTGTTCGACAGGGAAATCGAATATTTTCAAAGGGTCTCTATTCAAAAATAAAAAAAATAAAAATAAAAAAAAACATAAAATGAAAAAAGAAGAATAAAAAAATCACCAAACGCTTTTACACATTTTTTTTTAACACATTTGGAATTATCATTTAAAAAATATTTTTCTGTCATCCATTATAAAAATCATCATGTAAAATAAAATAATATACAAATAATATAATATGATTAAATTAATTATACTTGAAATAAAATTCTGATTGTAAACATTTGATTCTGAAAACTTTTGCAAAGTAAAAATAAAATAAGAATAATTGTTAGTTCCTTTTAAAAAAGAATATTCGATAATGATTGGTTTTCGATAAAGCATAGTGACGCAAGGGTGTTTCATTCTCATTGGGATCGCGGCGGGTTTAATCGGATTACGTCGAAACCGTAAGATATATGACCATGGTATACGATTCAATTTGTGTCCATAAATTCTATCCGCTCGATTTAAATGGCACGCACGCGAGTATACGAGCTTTACTGAGAAGTACCGAGAATCCCCATAGGAGACTATATCTATCTTTCTTTCTTTCTTTCTTTTTGCCCTTTTCTTTTTTTATTTCTCAGCACATATGCGAAAGATGTGCAAGTCTTTTCTCGGCTCAACGCCGAAAAAGAAAGGAGAAACGTCGTCGTTTTTGTGAACTTGCCAAAATAGAAAGATGTATGAAGTATGTACTTGCCAAGTGGAATGAGAAATCGTTTTCTCTACGGTGAAATTGACTTTCTAATGAGAGAAAGAAAGAAAGAAAGAAAGAAAGAAAGAAAGAAAGAAAGAAAGAGACTTACAACAAGTCCATGGTAGTATCCTAAGCCAACATTTTATTCCCCCTCAACATCCTTCTTACAACTTTTTATCGAATGTATTGAAAAAGTGGGTGGTTCACGATACGAATCTTGGATTATATTATGTAGATATATTTCTGGATAAATTGAATCTTACTATTCTTCAAGTATTTCTTCTTACAAATATTTGTTCTACGTAAAATAATATACTTTTCTATGATTTATGTTTTATAATGTAAAGAACGTAATATAAATTAATATTTAACTATTTTACGATCGTTAAAATATAAACACGACACATTTTGTATTATATTATAAATCAAATCTTTATAAAAATGTTATCATTCTCGAAATCAAATGTATCTCATTCGAACATATTTTAATGATCAATATCAGTCGAGTTATTCAAATATGCTTCTTACATAGTATAATAAATTTTCATAAAAGAAAATGTGTTTATGTAAGTAAAAAATGTCAGTGGTTTGGAACGATCTTTGCAAGTTGGCAAATCTTATCATACTTGGTCTTGTTCCAAAGGTGTCGCAAAGAAAAATTGTCGTATAACGTCAACTTTATCGTAATTTGTGTAACATATTCGCAGTACGGATCGGTATACTACCTTGTGATGGAACTTGCAACCGGTGGTGACCTATGCACACACATTAAACAACAACCAAGTGGCATGCTCGATGAGATGACCGCGAAGCTTTACGCCAGACAGCTGGTTTCTGCTTTGAAACACATGCACTCCAGGGGAATCGTTCATCGGTGAGTAGGCAAAGAGAATTATTTATTTTCTACCAATCTCCTATATATACATATATATATACATGTTTATCTATACGGTAAATGTATAAGTGTATGTAGATATGTATATTTCAATCCACGAATAATAATCCCGTTTTGATGTACCACCGTCAGTTCTCATCTATCCTATTTCGAGTAACTGATTAAATATTTAATTCTTCGGTCTGACGCATCGTCTAGCCTATTCGATAGACCTTTGAAGCATATAGTATCATCATCGATCCACCATGTGTTCGTACTTTCATATATCCCTTTACGCATATCCTTAAACTACTAAGTTTTACACACATTTTTCTATTAATAAAATAAACACTATAAGCTATGGTATTAATAATGATACTATAGTACAAATATATTATTATTAAAATTTTATTAAGTATTAAAAAGTAAATAGAAATTACCTAAAAACTATATATATATATTATAGTACAAATTTATTAATATTAAAAATGTATTGCATATTAAAAATAAATAAAAATTATTTAAAAATCTTTTATTCTCATTAAACAACAATAAAAAATTAAAAAAATTCTAAAAGATAGTATCAAGAAATAATTTTGAAATGCAATATATATATATACAATTCTATATTGAGTTAGAAAAATAGGAAAGAGTTAAAGTATATACTTGAGCGTGTTTATGTATACGTAGGACGATTACCCACGCAGTGTCAAACACCTAGAAGAAGGTGTAAACTATCTGCGAGCATAAAAGATGCAACACGATAGTTTCGTATATATCTCCTCTGTTTCTACATTTTCCAAAGTGTGGCTAGAGGGGGGAGGGGGGGGGTATTTTAACGACCGTTAATTATCGTACGTGATGCGTTGAGAAAACAGTTTATTACTCATCGTGCTGAGAAGAGAACTAGCTTCTTCGTTTCCATGCTGGTTAGTTTTAGTGACACGTAGAAAACCTATGTAATCGGTCATTACTATACTCTACAAACTATTACTTATGTATATATGTATTCGCCAACAGCTGCCACTCGTCTTGACATCTTCTACTTTAATAAATATGCATATGTATATATACGTGACGACTTTTTTATTGAATAATATTTAATAAATGACAGAGAAGAGAACAGAAAACGTATACTCTCATATTTTATATTTATCTCGTTTTCTTTCACGTATGAATACATATATTGTATCTAAAGTATCGAATTAAATTCAAGAATAATTCTTATATATATATATATATATATATTTTTTTTTGTAATATTTTAGTAATCTATCTAATACAAAATGAAACTCGTCTTTCCATTTTACGAACAATTTTTATTACAAAATATATCAACTTAATAAGTTAATGTTGCATCAAACAAATACTTGATTTATTACTTATTTATTTAATTGATGCATAAATAAAACAAAAATATATATAATTCGCGTTGTTAATCTTAGATTATTGTAATACTCGATGGCAATCGAGTCATTTTATGAAATATTTTTTAACCGTCTCGAAATTAAAGTAAAAAAAAAGATAAGGTAAAAAGGAGTTGGAGGTAATACGGTAAAAGGAAATTTTTTCAGGGGCGTTTATAAAACACCGGTAGGGGGTTTGAAGTTGTAGCCTCTGCAGCAAACGATCCCGTAATAAAAGGAACACGTGACGCCTGAACGAGGCCGAGAGTTGAACGTCGCCGTTCAAAAGAGATTTGCGAATATAAAGCAGGCAGCAACACAATATGCGATACACCCGTCGGGTAGTTTGCTTCCGCGTCGAAAGTGCAAACTCTCAATCTCGGATGATGGTGATAGATCGTCTCTCACGTTCAAATTCGTGAGGGTTCTACTGGGCTTGAGCTTTTAACAAAAAGAACAAAATCATAGTCAACTATCGCCAAATCTCCCCCTTTTATTTTTTTCTTATACTTCACACGATTAGAATCCATTTGAAAAATTATTGTCTGAAGGATTACGCGTTTATTTGTTTATTTAAATATTTTTATATATAAAAATTCAGTGTCACAGTATTGGTTTCCAATGAAGATCAAAACTACTAAACCGATCTTAATGAAATTTTTTGTATTTTGTGTGTTTTTTTTTCAACTTAGTATATATAGAATAGTTTTTATCGCAATTATTTTTATTTTTTATTGTTAATTTTAGGATTTATTATTTAGAGATTATCTAGGTATTTAGGTACTGTAAGTTTTCAATAGATAGCTTTGTATTACAATTCAAATTATAACTATACTTACTTTTTATATTTTTTTGTGTATTATTATTTTATGTATTTTCATTGTAATTGTGGTATCATTTTATGTATTATTATAATTTACTAAATAGCTTAGAGAATTAGATTAAATCAAAATTAATCTTAACAAAATAAAAATATCTATAATAATTTAATGCTTCAGTGATGTAATAGAAAAGGTATCTTTTGAAGTAGAATATAATACATCACAGATCATTTTCGATGATACGTATCACCCTCGTAGAATCCACTTATGTCAACTAGTACCTTAGCACCTTTTCGAATTACGAAACTCAAAGGAAACATTCTCGACTCGTGAAATCGGATCTATCATTCGTACGAAATAGAAACGTCTAGTAGAACCCTTCGAATTTCTTCCTGTCTATTCGCGAAAGACTAACGTAAGTGCTGATCCAGATTAGAAGGGACCTTTGGATATTTTCCTATTCCTATGTAAGGGTGTACAGCTTCCAAAGAACATATACACACATATATGAACATACACACATATAAAGAATTCTCTCTTTTTCATCCTTTGTGGTAAGGACTAGTCTTTTTCTTGTAAAGATACGCACCCAATATCCTGATCCTCGGTAGGTGGATAATTGATCCGTACTTTTCGCCTCACTTCAACTCAATTTCATCGTTTTGCACGTGAATCAACGATTATAATACTTCTCTTTTTTCATAATTGACTTTAATAAAATAAACGCTAATCTAATTGTACTTTAATTTTGTTTAAAACAATCGTTACAAAGGTTTTGTCCTTAACTATAGTTCTCTTTCATCGTAAAAAGGACCATACCGAAATATCTTGAACCTTTCATTTTAATTCCAACGAACGCCTCCGGTTTGCTCTTCCATTATTTGTCGGACAAAACGAATGGAACTCTCCTCGATATGCCCAAGGGTATCGACTTCCGGTGAATCTCGAAAGAACCGAGATTACAGTTTTCCGATATATATATGCTATTCTTCTGTCTCTTTCTCTCTTACCAACTCTCTTATTCCTCTTTCTTTCTTTCTCAGAATTTCTTTGCGAATTCAACGAACAAGTTTATCGGGTCTTTATGAACTACAAAAAAAGGAATAAGAAGGGAGCTCTTTGGAAAAGTGGAAAAGTCGGAAGTTGAATGAACAAATGTTATACCAGACGTAGTTTTACTTTTCGAGAAAAGTTTCAAACGATTTCTACGTTTATACGCTTTTATTGTACTTTAAAAAATAATATAAAAATCCTCTTGTATTTTCCTCTTTTTTTTTTTTTTTTTTTTAATTATTCTTCTTAATAATTTCAATATGATACAAATTCATGTTTCATTTATATATTTTATTTACAAACTTTTAATTTGCAAATTATTTCATTTGCTATTTTATTCCTATTTAATAAATTAATAGTTAAATAAATATATTAAAATAAATATTGGGTGTTGGCAAGTAAATAATTGTGGATCTTATCGATAGGTGGTCTTTTAAAATCAGCAATGACTTAGTTGCCAACCCAATAGTTAAAAAACATCTAAATTATTTCCTATTACAAACATCTTGTCAAGTTTTAATTGTAATCATATTTTAATAGACATAAATATATCATAAAAAAAAAAAAAACAAATCATACAAGATTCCAGTCAATTATATAAAATTCAAATAAAAATGAAACATAATTCTTATAATAAATTTGTCAAATTATATACATAATTAATTAGCTTTTAAATTACATACTGAAACAAATTAACCGTACCATACCTAGTCACGTTTAAATTACGTTTGAAAATTAAACAAGAAATTTCGCAAATAGAAAGACTAATTGAAGTAAAAACATTTGAAGTAAAAACCGTAAACCGTTATAATTTAGGATAAGATTCTATTCAACGTCTTTCAGAAAGTTATGCTTTGCGTCTAATTGTAAGGCAGAAAAAAAAGGAATGGTTGGAGGGGAGGGGGTGATAAATGAAAGTATAACATCGCAAAGTATCCATCTCGCAAGACGTTAATGGGTAGGAGCACTCAGTTACTTACCAAAGTACAGTACTTAAGCCTCTGTATATCCCTTGAGCTGTTATAAGTGCAGGCGTGCGCTAGCGCACAAATACACACACATACGTATTGAGTATAGCATAGTAAAGCAGAACACGATCTATACCTCTTTCGGTCCAAACTGCTTCCGTTGCTAATCAGGTTTACGACTGCTTAATTGGCTTCGTGCACGCTCAAGAGAGAGGGAGAGAGAGAGAGAGAAGGACTCAGAGAGAGAGAGAGAGAGAGAAAGATAGAACACCCGGCCACCGACCTTGACCCAAGGAATGTCCCTTATTTTCATTATCGTCGCACGATCTATTGCCCCATCCCTTCCATTACCTTCTTCTACTCTTTCTCTTTCTGTCTATTATTTGTTTGCTAATTTTCTTCACTTTTTATTGGATTTCTAAGTAATAACAGTTGATTTTTCTTATTACAGTTGATTATACATTTTTTATTTGTTTTAAGAATTATTTATCTACCTCAAGGTTTTCTAGAAGTTTTAAAAACTTATATTACAAAAAAGAAAAGATAATTTTTCAACCAAATGTTAATAACATTTTTAATAAATTAAATTCAGGTGAGGTGAAGACTAAGGTCTGAAGAGATGAATTTTTTAAAAGAAGGTACATAAATCATATATTATGAGCTTTTAGGCAGCAATTGACACTCACATCAATTATTAAACTATTATTTTATAATACTTATACACTCTACTTATATTAGCAGCATAATTTTGT